CAAAAATAAATAAATGTTGGAAAAAAAAAAATTAAAAAAAAAAATCTGTGTCTGTCTTTGTTTTGCCTTTATCCTGGGATGATAAGTTCTTTTTCCTCACTCCTAAGATGTTTCTCCACCCTTCTGTCTCCTTCTTTTGGGGACTTCTCAATTCCTCTTTCGCTTAGGTTGGCATCTCTTTATTTGTCCTCCTTGTCTCTTACCTGTTTTTTCATGTTTCGCATCGCTGTCTTTGCTTCCTTCTGTGTGAGCTCCTTGCTACTGTCTTCAAACTAACTGACCATCTTCAGTCAGGTCCAGTCTAGAATTTGTCAGGTCTGTGAAGACACTGTGTAGTTTACTTCCAGGATTTTCCATTTTTCTCTCATCCACTTGTTCTTCTTTCCCCTCTGCCTGTTTTTGTTTAATAATTCAGAGTTCTCGTTATAGATATTAATCTGTCTTCGATTTTTTCAGTATCTTAAACATATTTATTTAAGAACTCATTTGGTCCACGTTTTTAAAAATGTTTATTTATTTTTGAGAAAGAGGGTGGGGAGGGGCAGAGAGAGGGAAACAGAGGATCCGAAGCAGGCTCTGCGCTGACAGCAGAGAACATGAGACAGGGCTCGAACTCATGAACTGTGAGATCATGACCAGAGCTGAAGTCAACTGCTTAACCCGATGAGCCACCCAGGTGCCCCTCATCCAGGTTTTTGTTTGTTTTTTTTTTTTTTTGGTTTGTTTGTTTTTTGAGCTTTCCATAGCTGGTAGGGCCCCACTCAGACCTCTGGTTTCAGTTACCCTGGTTCCTGTGTTCTGTCACAAGTGTGCTCCTGTGTGCTTCCTGAGTGGAGCCGGTTTCTTGCCCGTCTTGCCACGTGGGAACTAAAGCTTCTTCTCGCTTCTGCTGGTTTTCAGATATAGAGCCCTTCAAGCTCCCAGCACCGGCCGTAGCAAAATATACGCTTTGCTCCATCTCCTGCACCATCTGTCTGCTTTCTACTTTCCCCCATACTTTTTTTTCCCTCCCATTATTTTTTGTCCTTGTGGATTTATACCTTTTTAAAATTCATCTGGAGTCATCTTGATAGGTTTTCAGGAGGGAGCCAAAATAAGGGCATGTGTTCAGTCCACCATGTTTAACCGACAGACCAGGTAGTAGTTTTAATTTGCAACATTTTCGTGCAAAATGATTAGTAAATCAGTTAAATCTTATTGCTTATTGGAAAGCCTACAAAGCACTGGCATGCTCTTTAATCTTTATTCGTGGCTTATATACTCTAGATCAATATTTTGTTTTTTTAAGCTTGTTGCAAATATTTTGTATGACTTAGTCAATGAGATTCTTTTCAGTGTCTGAGTCACTTAGGGAACAATTTACAAAGCTCGTTGAGGCCTAAATGCAGATCTACATCTTAAAGAATTCATTCCCGGTGCTTTTAGGAAGATTGCAGACCGCTGATTTACTGAAACTGGGACCTGTCACTGGCTCCGTCTTCAGTCTGTGTATTTATAATGACTTGTTCAGCAAGTTCCCAATCTTCTGAGCTGATTTGTCTGATTTGAGGGATAATGAGCAAGAATAAAATGTCAGATAAAATCTCCACCAATAACAGAAGAAAATATACATGTAAGCTGAGTAGGATTTTTATAGTGGTGGCATAAGAATCTGTTTTTAAATTTCTGGATTGTATGGTATGTGTACTGAAGAAAAAAGTTCCCACTATGTCTTCATTTTGTATAATTAGTATGTGACACATAGTGGCCATTCTACAAATACTTATTGACTGAAAGAGTAAATTATGGAGTGGGCTTCCCACTGTCGCCTCTCTGCTTCTGCTACCTATTGCCTTGAACCTGACCTAACTTTCATGACAGTGACTCTAACCCACATTTCTCTAGCTCTGGATTCCTTGTAGTCCAGCCTCATTTCTGCTTCATGGGGACCCCAGAGAAATACGGTAGGATAGTGCATATTCCATAAAATTGGAACCCATTCTTTGTACATGGCCGTGGATTAAAATATTTTCCTTGTGTAATTATTTTTCTGATCAGAAAAATTATACATACTTATTGTGGGGAAGTTATACAATTTAGAAAAGAATGAAAAGTAAAATAAAAATCACACATGATCCAAAGATAGCTGGTTAATATTTTGCATGCTTCCTTGTAAAATTTTATACGGATATATGACTATATGCATCAAGGTTCGGTCAAGAAGACAGAAACCACTCTAAGTATTTTAGCAGGAAGGTATTTAATCCAGGAGGTTAGAGCTTGCATAGCCTTTGGCAGATTTAAGCAAGCAAAGTGAAAGAAACTGCTGTTGGCTTTCAGGAAAGTGGGATGTGCAAGAATCACAGAACGGAGCCATTGAAAACATCAGCTGCCTATAGCATGGGAGTGAGTGATTTGCAGGAGTGTGCCTAGAAGTGGCTGTAAACCTCACGTGTGCAGTTTATCCCATGTATGCCCATCCCTGCCAGGGGAACATAAGGGCTTCTCTTCCACCTCTCTGTATAAGTAATTTACGGTTATTTACAACCAGCTGCCAAGGTTGTTTGGGAAGTAGAATTTTTGGGCCTCTGCTCCCTTGATACAGAGAACATTCACAAGGAGCACAAATGCTCTGTCAGTTTTGTTTCGTTTTTTAATTTTTTTTAAATGTCTCTTTATTTTTGAGAGAGAGAGAGAGACAGAGCGTGAGCAGGGGAGGGGCAGAGAGAGAGGGAGACAGAGAATCTGAAGCAGGTTCTAGCCTCTGAGCTGTCAGCACAGAGCCCGACATGGGGCTCAAACTCACAAACCATGAGATCGTGACCTGAGCTGAAGTCAGACGCCCAACCAACTGAGCCGCTCAGGCACCCCAAAAATGCTGTGTCAGTTCTGAGCAATCCAAATATATGGCTCTTTTCCTGTTGTCACCAATCCTCCAATATGTTTCTTCTATGTCTCTCGCCATTAATCATGAACATCTGGCTATTTTTTATTCTAGGCAGATACATTGTTTGAACTTCTGCCAACTGTGGGGGTTTCCCTTCCTTAACACCCTTGAGATCCACTCCCTAGTGGGCTTTTAAGTGTCAGTAGTCTACTTCTGGAAGGTGTCGGCATATTGACACCTTTCGTAAACCAGGTCTGGCTTTTCCTCCGCTGGTCCACCTGGTCATCAGGAGCTCCTCAAGAGGCTGTATGTGTGAGTTAAAGGAAAGTTGGCAGAAGCAAGAGTATATGCCACAGGAGTGTGGGCTCATGCAGTGTACTTACGCCTTTGGGACCTATTTAAGCGTGATGTCTTTGCTTTTCTTCCCCTTGAAGATGGAGCACTGCTCATATGCCTCCCTTTATGGCTTGGTGCTCAGGATGGCCTGGCCAGATTGCTTGGTCACTTAATGTCCCGTGCTCAGGAACGCACTTGCTACCGGGGCCCAGCAGCAAGCCAATGGCTACTTTTCACAGTGGGATGATTGGGTTGGAACGGGGCTGACTTAGTTTCGTATTCCTAGGGAGCTATTCTGTGAATTTCCTACTAGGGCTCGACAGAGGCTTCGCACATGGCTTCTCTGCCACAGATACTTTGAGCACCATTGGCACTGCCAAGCTGTGAGGCCCAAGGGACTGAGCAGCCTACACTGCAGCTCAGACCCGCTGCACAGCCTTCTCAAGCTCTGGACCCCACTCAAAGCTGACCGTCTTGAGGCGATTTGGTAAAAGGTTAGGAGTAGTACTTTCAAATGTAGAAGGAATTGCCTTCACGATCCAAAGAAGGCCCAGAGAACTTAGAGGCGTGGAGGTGGCACTGAAGAGTGACAGACCCCGTCCAGCACACTGTATAGGCCTTCTGTAATTGGGCTCTTACTGCATGTACAGTTTTATACTCATGAGCATTGTAAAGCCTTTGCTCCTTTGATGGTGACATCCCTACTCTTATTAAGCAGCATCCCTGTGGTTTAACTTAAAACCCATAACGAGGGCAGCTCTCTATATTCATTTGAACCTCTGTGTAAAAGAGTGAGTCAAAGTACAGTTTCTTTGAGTGGGGTTGTGTGTTTGAGTATGTCAAGGAGCTTCAGTGCTTGTTTTTAAACTTCACTCAGAGTTAGCTTTGTCGTTTTCCTGGACAGGTGTGACGCCAGCATAGCCAGACTCTCTGCAGAGCACAAAACGACTTATGAGGGGCTCCAGCACCTGAACAAAGAACAGCAAGCTGCCAAACTTATCTTGGAAACAAAAATCAAAGACGCAGAGGGGCAGGTATGGCCTACTTCAGGTAGCCTTTTAGAAGGAGGTAATTTGTTCTTAGCTAAGTAAGAATAACATGGTGATGAGAAACCAGCCGGGATGCCTAGCACATGCATATCTTTTCCTCACTTCTTCTTTCCCCCTGTTTCAGTGCAGTGGCCCTTCACGGGTACGGCAACCAAAGCGCCAAATTTTTTGGTAGAGTCCTAATTTTAAAGGTTCTTTTCCCTCATTCCTAAAACAATTAATATATTCCAGAAATTCTAAATAATGGCTCCAAAACTACTTCGTGCATAGGTAAATGATCGGGCATTCTGTTATATGCCATGTCCCCATTTTTGGTTCAGGAAATAGTTACTGTCCTGGGACTCATGTTATGTGCTACCTCATCACATAGTCTTTGGTGGGAAAGGATTCAGACAAAGGTAGAGGTAGGCTGGCCGGTGAATTTTAGAGTACTCCACCTTGAAACACAGATCAGTTTTATAAAGCATAACTTTTGGCATTTCACCATTTGCTTTTTGGCCACTTAAAAGCTTCCCTTTGCCATCAAGGGGCCTGTCTTCTAGGATTTGCCCCACAGTATCTGCCCTAGTTGTTATTCTTCATGCAAAGAGGGACCATTCCAGTAAAAAGGGGCACCTGGTCAATTTGCTGGAGTAAAAATACTTGTGTTCAAAATACATTCAATAAAGATCTAAATCTGCTTATGTGAAGGACACAGATATTCTAAAGCCACCAAAAAAACCCCACAATAAAACAAAATTCCAATAGTTTTTTTTCGGAGAATGAGTAAGGACAGAATTACCTCAACAGAAAATAAATGCTCAGCAGATACTAAGCTTCTTGGTGGCCGAGCCAAGTCGGATGCATATAGAAATCTATAGAAGGAGACATACTTTTTTTTGTTCTGGATCTAATAAATACTTGTCCCATGAATCTGCGAGTGAGGAATATCGAACACTGTAATTCCTGAAGAAACTAAAGACATTTCATATAGGACGAGTTTCTATTAACTCTTAGTAGAAAGACCAGGGGGAGGGATGGGTGGTGGGAACAAGGAGTAGGAGGGATGGAATTTACAAATTATATTTTCTGGTGACTTGACTTGATATGGAGGTAAATCTGGGACCTCAAAGGATTTTGCAAGTGATAAGAATTCCATTCTCTATGTCTAGCAGCCACATTAATGGTAGAAATCCCAAAGTAAACATAACTGTATTTTGTGCCAGCAGGTGGAGGTAGTGGTCCTGGGCAGAAACTAGGCTTGCTCATCAGAGAACTATAAAGTTAAGTACTCAGAGCGTCATGGATTTTGGCATCATTCCTGGTCTTGATTTCTGATGAGTGTGTATGATAGAAAATGGAAGTGGAAAGATGAGGTGAACTGCTAAAAGAATATATTAAATTATGTTGAATCTTAATGTCATCGACTAGAATATAGCTTACCAGATGTTATCTGAAACTACCTCTAAAGATCATATGTGATATTACAAGCAAGGTTTCTTTCCCAGATTTCTCAGCTTTTGAACAGAGTGGACTTGTCGATATCAGAGCAAAGCACCAAACTGAAGATGTCCCACAGAGACAGTAACCACCAGCTGCAGCTTTTGGATACGAAGTAAGTAGTCAGCTTATAAACATTTTTTTTTTTGGTTCGAGTTCTTGATAACCCTATTCACTAGTATGGTTTTTTTCCTTTTCATTTTTATTTATCACATAAAACAAACTGAAAACAATAATGGAAGTTAAGAGGAAAAGTTTCCTTGTAGCATGTTGCCACTTTACATTCCTTCTTATGGTTTTTAGTAGTTGGATAATTATCTATTCATCCAGTAGATATATAGTGAGCACTGGCCTAGTTGCTAAGGATCCAGAAATAAAGAAAAACAGACTCTGTTCCTATCCTTGTGGAGTTTATAGTCTAAGGAGTTGATGAGCATTAATCAAATAGTGACTTGAGTGAGTGTATGCCTTATTATTACTAATGGTTGCAATTGCTTTGAAGAAAAGGTGCATGGTTGTGGTAGGCTGAATGATGGTCCCCCAAAGATCACCATGGCCCAAGCCCTCTGAATATGTTACCTTATATGGCAAAAAGGGACTTTGCAGATGTGATTAAGGATTTTAAGATGGATAGGTTACCTTGGATTACCTCGTAGACCCCATGTAATCCCTAGAATGTCTGTAAGAGGGAGACAGGAGGGTCAGAGTCATGAGAGAAGGTCACGTGATAATGGAAAAAGAGACTGGAGGCTCAGAGATGCACTCTAAGGATGAGGAAGGGGCCACAGACCATGAAATACGGGTGGCCACTAAAAGCTGAAAGAGGCAAAGCAATGATTCTCCTCTGAGAGCTTCCGGAAGGAACCACTTCTGCTCACACTTCAATTTTAGTGCAGTGAAACTGATTTTAGGTCTCTGACCTCCAGAACTATGAAAGAATAAACATGTTGGTTTAAGCCATCAAGTCTGTGGCAATTTGTCACCACAGCCACAGGAAGCTAATACAATGAATGGTGCCATGAGGCCTGGTTGTGGGACCTCCTTCCTGAGGAGGTGATGTTTGAAGTAAGAGCTGAAGAAGAAATGGGATTCACTAGGTGAAGAGTGAGGTAAGAACGTATGGGATGGAGGAGTGTGGCATACAAGAAGCTGCAAGATGGCGAGGGTGGCTGGAAGAGAGATGGAGGGGAAGTGAGGCCTGGGGAGGAGGCAAGCCGGCAGCAGGGCCTTGTAGACCATACGCGGGGTTGTTGTCTCTGGCTTTAGTGCAGTAAGGACAGCCACTGAAGGGCTTGAGGCAGATGGGGTGATATAATAAGATTTATAGTTATTTTTAAATGGCCTTGGTGGCAATCAGAAAACGGTGGGGCACCACGGTAGCTCAGTTGGTTGAGTGTCGGACGTTGGCTCAGGTCACGATCGTGAGATTCAGGAGTTCGAGCCTCACATTGGGCTTTTTGGTGTCAGCACAGAGCCGGCTTCTGATCCTCTGTCCCTCTGTCTCTCTGCCCGTCCCTTGCTCATGTGTTCCCTCCCCCCCCCAAAATAACTAAAAACATTAAAAAAAGAAAGAAAAAAAAAGAAAGTGAATCAAAAGGGGCCAAAGCATGGGGCGCCTGAGTGGCTCAGTTGGTTAAGCATCCGACTTCGGCTCAGATCATGATCTAGCGCTCAGTGAATTTAAGCCCTGTGTCGGGCTCTGTGTGGACAGCTCAGAGCCTGGAGCCTGTTTCAGATTCTGTGTCTCCAGAGACTCTCTCTTTGCCCTTCCCCTACTCACACTGTGTGTGTGTCTCTCTCTCTCAAAAATAAATAAAGATTAAAAAATTTTTAAAAAGTGGGGGGCAAAGCAGAGATGGGGACATCAGGTGGGGGCATTGCTGCAGTAGTGTAGGTGGGAGAGGTGTGCACTAGGGTGATTGTAAACTATCCAGTCAGCACCCTATGATGTGTTATACTTTCCCATTTTGTTATAGTAACACTTTGAACTGTACTTGCCCACAGTGAAACTCATCATCTGCCCTTCTACTCAGTCACAAAACCATACATCTTCTCCCATCATGAATCTTCATGAGCTTGGCATTTTCCTGCCTAAGCAGAGCCAGTCATCACTATATATGTTTATGTGTGTGTGTGTATGTGTGTGTGTGTATTTGACTTAATATATTGTTTAACAATGATTTTAGTGTGGAACTTTGTTAGAGACTTGTGGAGATTTTAAATTAATCATTCTCCTGGTTCTTATATCTTATCATCACCATATTTAATGTTGTGTCAAGGTTGTTGCTGAGTTAACAGGAATTCTCTTATGACAAGCATGTTTCTTTTTTCTCTAATTGTCTGTATTATATAATCGTTGAGTTATGTCACCACTTCTCATAGATCCTACACGCTTGCCAAGTACAGAAAAATCTCTTCAGTCCTCTTCCTTCCATCACAGAGGAAAAAATAAACATGTTGGTATTTTTTCCTATGTAAATTACTTCGTTAGGAGATATTACTAGTCAGCAGACACGAACATCTTTATTTTCCTTCCTACAGTTTAAAGTCTAGAAGTCTAGACACAAACGCTCTTCACAGGGGAGAGGGGACAAAGCCTGGGGCAGAAGGTCAGATTGATTACCCAAAGGGAAAACCCTGGTTGGGTGAACTAGGGAAAATGCCCTTTCCACAAAGAGAGCCTAAGGAAACTCACCTGTCTAAATCTTGGCTCTGGGTAGAGGGATAGAAGATATTCTTTGAAAATTCAGGAGCACAGTATAGCCTTTATTTATTTTACTTATTTATTTTCAGTAAGCTCTATACCCAACATGGAGCTTGAACCCATGACCCTGAGATCTACCAGCTGAACCAGCCATGTGCCCCCACAATACAGCCTTCATATAAATTTAGAGCTAGAATTCACATTACCCAAGCAGCTTGAAGAAAACCACAGTGGACAGTTTAATCTTAGAATGATCCTGTTTTGGTGGTGGCTTAAGAAGCTGGAAGAAACAGATGTAAATACCCAGTCCTGAAGGCTTCCCAGATCTTCCCAGAACAGATCAAGTTCTAAGGAGCATGAATGTATAATCAAAAATCGTAAAACAATACAAACAAAAAAGTCACACATGTGATAGAGTCAGGAGAAACAGAGAAAAGAGGAATTTGATGTCCAAATACTGCATATATAGGAATTATTGGATAAAATAAGTATACATGTACGTACATACATTTGTATGTGATGTATATGTATGTGTGAGTATACACACACACACACACACACACATTTTGAAAGTATGACTAAGGAATGAGAGATTATTAAAAATGATCAGTCAGAATTGAAAACAACGAAATAGAACTTCTAGAAAATATAATCAAAAATAAAAGCTGTAACCTGTAGCCCTACCTGACTGGGGAGCCTGCATAGTGACCCCAGGTGACCTTGGAGCCCCCCTACATTACCTGGCTGTGGAGCCCCGCTTACAGCCTTGCTTATTAGCAAGTGGAGCCCAGACTGCTCCCACTTATTTGTTGAGCACTGCCTGTAGCCTTGCCCAAGCAGAGAACCCAGCCAGTAACCCCTCCCCCAAACAGAAGCCCAGACAATGATTCTGCCTGATCTCAAAACCCAGCCACCAGCTTCACCCAACTGTGAGGTATAGCAGCTGGTGCCACCTGACCAGGAAGCCTGGCCAGGAACCTCACTCAACAGTGTGCCACAACCAGCAGCCTGCCCAGTCCTGGAGCAAGCCTGAGGCCCTGTCTGATGATGAAGCCAGCTGAACTTGGAGGCTAGCCAGTAGTAACACTTGGCTGGGAAGCATAGCTTGGGGGTCCCACTTGATTGGGTGCAATTGTGGAGCCCAGCCTACAGCCCTTAATCATGGAGTCCAAACAGCAGCGAACTGCCCAGCCAGCGAACACAGTCTGAGACCTCAGCCGACCAGAGGTAATTGCCCAGTGCAGTTAGTGGCTCTGTTTGATTGTGCAGTCTAGCCCAGCAGCCCCACTTGGCCAGGGCGCCCAGCCAGCGACCCTGCTTGAATGCAGAGCCCAGCTTGTAGGCCCATCTGACTGGGGAGCCCAGCCAGCTGTTCCTCCCATCCCCTGACCTCAGAGCATAGGCAGAAGCCCTGCCCAACTAGAAACCTAACAGACATGTACAGAACTTTCCATCCAACAGTAGCAGAATACAAATTTCTCTTAAGTGCAAACAGAGTATTCTCCAGGATGGATCATATGTTAGGTTACAAAACAAGCCTTAATAAATTAAAGAAGATCAAAATCATATCAAGTACCTTTTCTGACCACAATAGCATGAAACTAGAAATCAATAATAGGAGGAAAATTGGAAAATTCACAAATATATGGAAATTAAACCACACATTCCTGAACAACAGATGGGCCAACGAAGATCAAAAGGGAAATTTAGAAAATCTTTAAATAAATGAAAATGGAAACACAAAGTATCAAAACTTATGGAATGCAGCCAAAGCAGTTTTATGAGGAAAGTTTACAATACTAAATGCCTACATTAAGAAAATAGAACGATCTTGAATAAACAACCTAACTTTGTATCTCAAGGAATATGAGATACTCTTGAAATATATGAGATATCTTGAAAGATATGTTCTTTCTTTTAGAAAAAGAAGAACAAACAAAGCATAAAGACAGCAGGAGGAAGGAAATAATAAAGATTGGAGCAAAAATAAATAGAATCTAGAAAACAATAGAAAAACAACGGAAGGGCATCTGGGTGGCACAGTCGGTTAAATGTCTGTCTCTTGATTTCGGCTCAGGTCATGATCTCACAGTTTGTGAGTTCAAGCCCTGCATTGGGCTCTGCACTGATGGTGCAGAACCTGCTTGGGATTCTGTCTCCCTCTCTCTGACCCTCCCTAGTTTGTGCGTGCTGTCTCTCTCAAAATAAATAAATAAACTTTTAAAAATGTTTAATAAAAAGAAAGAAAAACGATGGGAAAAATTAATGAAACTAATTGTTGGGGATTTTTTGAAAGATAAACCACATTGACAAAACTTTAGGTAGACTAACCAAGAAAAAAAAAGAAAGAACACTCAAATAAAATTATAAATGAAATAGGAGTCATTATAACAGGTACCACAGAAATACAAAGAATCATAAGAGATTATTATAAACCATTAAATGCCAACAAACTCAATAACCCCCACCCCAAACCCCATTCTCAAACCCCTCCAAAGATTAAAGAGGAGGGAACACTTCCAAAATCATTTTATGAATCCAGCATCACCCAGATACCAAAGACAGGCCAACATCCCTGTTAAACATAGATGTAAAAATTCTTAACAAAATGGTAGCAAACCAAATGCAACAGCAAGTTTAAAGGATCATACACCATGAGGGAATGGGATTTATCCCTGGGATGCAGGGATGGTTCAATATATGTAAATTAATAAATGTGATACACCACATTAACAGAATGAAGGATAAAAAAAATCATATGATTATCTCAGTATGGAAAAAAGCATTTGACAAAATTTGATACCTTTTTCTTGATACGGACTCAACAAATTGGGTATAAAATGAATGTATCTCAACATAATAAAGGTCATATATGACAAACCCACAGCTAACATCTACTCAGCAGTAAAAAGCTGAAAGTTTCTCCTCTAAAATCAGGAACAAGGTGGGGGTGTTTACTCTCCCCACTTCTATTCAACACAGTGTTGGAGGTCCTGGCCAGGGCACTTAGGCAAGAAAAAGGAATAAAAGCACTCCAAATTAGAAAAAAAGAAGTAAATCTATTCCTCTTTGCAGATGGTATGATCTTATATGGAGAAACTCTAAAGACTACATCAGAATACTGCTAGAATAAGTGAATGCATTAAGCTGCAGCCTCTGTGGTCAGTCTTCCTGGTCAGGCAGGGCTGTAGGCTGAGCTCCACAGCTGGGAGGGGCTGCTGGCTTGCGTTTCCTGCCCAGGAAGCTTTTTTAATAGTGGCAAGACCCGGGCAGTTGTGATCCATTGCCCGACCTGGTAATATGGCCATACCTAGCTGCGAGAGAGGCTGGGAAATGTAGTCTCTGGCCAGGCAGCCATGTACCCAGTTCACATTTGAGGATTTCTTTCTTTCTTTTTTTTAAAATAATTTTTTATTATTTTATTTTATTTTATTTGAGAGAGAGAGAGAATGAGCAGGGGAGAGGGACAGTGGGTGTAGGGGGGACAGGGAGAGAGAGAGAGAGAGAGAGAGAGAGAGAGAGAGAGAGAGAGAGAGAATGAATGAATCTCAAGCAGGCTCCATGCTCAGCACGGAGCATGACATGGGGCTTGATACCACGACTCCGGGATCATGACCTGAGCTGAAATCAAGAGCCAAATGCTCAACTGATTGAGCCACCCAGGTGTGCCTCTTTGAGGATTTCTTAACAGGAAAGAAGAGGAAAACATGTAGCAGATAATTTAGGGTCTTCTACCACAGTGTCCATTTTATTATTACTATTATTTAAGTCATATGTTCTCTTCTGCTTTTATTCTATTTCATAATAAAACTAATACAAAAGTAATGAGGAGATAGCAAGTGTGGAGTGTAAATTTAATGTATTTGGAAAGGACAAGGACTGGAGGAATGGAGGTTAGGGTTTTTTTCTTTCAGTTTTCTTTTAGGAAATATCTGTATCCGGCAAGAGCAATTTGGAGAACATTTGAGAGAAGGGGCGCCAGGCTCCAGTCCTGGGAGATAACAGGGAGAGGGAGGAAGAGCCCAGGAAAAGACAGGAGACTGGAAGCGTGCCAAGATACTGTGTCCTCTGAGCCAGGAGCACTGGGGGCCTTCTGAAGGCAAAGATGAGCACCGGGCGTGGCTGTGTGTCACTGTGTGACACCTCAACACCCACACCATCAGCTCTACACCAGTAGGAAGTGTTAGCAGGTGCTTATCTGTTGTGTCATCCTTCCTGGCACCCCATCCCCAATTTAGTGCTAAGGATAATTCTAAGGGAAGGTAAGCTTGTAATTCCGAGGGAGCCGAGGTGAATGCTGACGTATTTGTGAGAAATTTGATAGCCAGAGACTGAGGTTATATGATGTAATTCAAAATTTTTTTTTTACATCTAACTTACTAACTTTCTTATTTTAGATTTAAAGGTACGATTGAGGAGCTCAGTAATGAGATTTTATCTGCACGGAATTGGTTGCAACAGGAACAAGAACGGATAGAAAAAGAACTTTTACAGAAAATCGATCAGCTTTCCTTGGTTGTTAAGGAAAACAGTGTAGGTATTGGTGTTTAGCACAATATAGTGAAGTTATTCAGTGGGGGCCTGCAATGTTTATGAATAATCCCTTGCAACTTAGTATTGACTTATGTAGCACCACATTAAGTTGTTCGGTTGTTTCTTGCCTTAGGATCCTTTCTTTGTACTCATTATAAAGAGAGCACTTGGATTTGTTTTGGTTAATAAAGGCTAAATAGAAAATTTTAGTACTTTCAGCTAAGATGAATTTAAGTCAAGGCCTTAGTGAACCAAATTGTCCACCTGCATTTCTAAATAAAACTAACAGCTACGAACTTCATCCTATTTGGTTTAATTTCGTCTTCTGGAAAACACGACGTTGGCCAGGTTTCTCCCACTAGGCCCCGCCATCACACTACAACCACAGTATGCACACTCACGGTGCAACACGTCAACAAAATCTACTGTTTTCTTCTCCGTTTTCCTTCTCTTTTTAGCCCATTCTCCGATAGAACTAAGGTTTGCAGAACTGCTCCATAAAACCATCAAGAAAGCCTTGCATGTAGAGTCTTCAAAGTCAGTAGGCTCTGAAACTGGTATTTGGCAGGCAAATCTTTTTGTGTTTTGGTCGTTTAGCCTGACCCTCTTCCTCTCCCTTCTCTTCTCTTGCACTGCTTCCTCCTACTGGACTTTGATGGAGCAGAAGCATCCGGTGCAGTCTGCATCTCTGACTCTGCTGGCTCTCAGTGTTGATCTGCTGGATTGCAGACCACATTGTATAACATCAAGAGAGCTAGGTCATGCAATAGCCGACTGAAAGCTCAGTGTTTGTAGTCTTGGCCTCCAAGGCTCACCTGCAGATTCAGGTTCCCACAAAAACCAAGCACGCTGGAAAGAAAAGGAAAGACAATATTTAACATGTCAAATACTTCTTTAAGTGTTCTCCCATATATTATCAGATCTACTGATTGATTTGCTTAATTTCATACTACTACATTTGTAGGCTTCTGTGTCTTTGGATCACTGTTTATTTTTACACATGGATTGGTGAATAGCTAATAGCAAACCTCAGGATAACGGTGGCTTTGATAGATGGCATCTTATTTGTCTTTCACATAAAAGATGTCTGGGTGTAGGGAGTGCAGCGCTGATGTGGTAGCTTATCAGTCCTCAGCAGCCTGGGATTCTTCTGGCTTACCTCTGCCAATTCTAGAGAGTGACCCTTGTTCTCATAGTTCAAGATGATGGCTAGTGCTCAAGCCATTACGTCTGAATTGCAGGAACAGAAGGAAAAAGGGATGAGGCCATGTCTCAGCTGCCTTTTAGCTTTTCCTAGAAGCTGCCACATACATCTTGTTGGCCAGAACTTAATCTTATGGCCGCACTAAACTCAGGGGACTATATAAAATGTAGCCTTAATTCTGGGTGAGCTTACACTGTGCTGAAAATTGGGGGTCTGTTAAGGAAACAGGAGAGAATGGATGTTTGAGTGAGCAACAAGCCACCTTTGCGATTCTGTTCCCTGCAGATTGTTGTTAAATGATACTAGGACTGATGCGAGTGCAGTACAGACTTTCCTTTTGGAGTAATCAGGTGCAATTCTTATCACGGATCTCAGGGAGCCAGTGAAAGGGACATGGAGAAGAAGCTGAGCCAGATGTCAGCCAGACTTGACAAAATAGAAGAGAGTCAGAAGAAGAATATGGAGGTGCAGAGAACAAAACAGGAAGAGGAGAAGGTTCATGGGCGCATCAGCAAGCTGGAGTTACAGATGAATGAGGACATGAAGGAAATGAAAGCAGAAGTTGACGCTGGTAGGCCAAAAAGAAAACAGCTCTCATGGTTTATTTTCACTATGATCTGAAAACCAGTTAATGCAACTACTGTGACCCCGGCTGATGGTAATAACGGTAAAATGTCCTTAGGTGATTTTCTGAGTAGCTGTGCTGTAGTGAACTAAAATGTTGTGTCACTTCCAAGTACATGGAAAGCCACCGTGATGGACAGGCAAACCAACCAAAATTGCTCAGCTTGCAAATGTGCATTTTCTTTTCTTTCTTTCTTTCTTTTTTTTTTTTTTTAACATTTATTCATTTTTGAGAGACACAGAGAGACAGAATGTGAGCAGGGGAGGGGCAGAGAGAGAGGGAGACACAGAATCTGAAGCAGGCCCCAGGCTCCGAGCTGTCAGCACGGAGCCTGACGCGCAGCTCAAACTCACGGACTGTGAGATCATGACCTGACCTGAAGTCAGACACTTAACCAACTGAGCCACCCAGGCGTCCCTTGTGTGCGTTTTCTTTAATGCCATCTGAGGGCTGTTTTCTGTTTATAGCCACTGTCGGTGTGTCTCAGAAATAAACACATATCTTTGCGGGACTTTTGAAGGCTTCTTTTATTACAGCTGGCAGTATGCTACCACAGCAGTGAATGATTTTCTTCTGCTCACAAGTCAACAGGGCCCATTAATTCACACTTGTTCGGAAGAAACTGTGAAAGCTATATTCCATGTCTGAAGTATTATTGCATATAAAAGAGGGGCTAGACTTAGTTACTCTGTGAATTCAGGAATACAGACCTGGAACCAGTAAGTGAATTGGAAGTTACCTGAAGACAGATTTTAACTTAACACAGGGCAGAAATATCCTCAGGTAATGGGTTCTTTTTAAAAAGACACTGGTGGCTTGTGAGCCTGAGAGTTCTTTGCTGTTGAAAGTATTCAAGTGGAAGCTGGTTGGGTGTGATTGGGAAAAAGAAGACAGTCTTACAATGTGACGAGGGGGACTACATTATCTCCCAGCTGCCTCCAATTCCATGATTCCATAATTTTCCCCTGCGGAATCGTTCTACTTTGGCCACATGGGAATAAAAGTAGTTAGTTATCCCAAGAATAGTTTTTGTTGTTACCACCAGAAGTTTTATTTTTTTTTTTAAGTAGAAATCACAAATAAATTTATGAATTCAAGAACTTGTGAAGATAAAAATGAATTTTCTTTCTTTGTCTTTGGGGCTATTAGAATATGGTATTTGAATATTTCATCAGTGATTTTTTTATGTTTATTTATTTATTTTAAGAGTGAGAGAAAGCATGAGTGCAGGAGGGGCAAAGAGAGAGGGAAAGAGGGAGACTCTCAAGCAGGCTCTGTGCTGTCAGCGCAGAGCCCGACATGGGGCTCAAACTCACGAACTGTGAGATCATGACCTGAGCCGAAACCAAGAGTCAGATGCTTAACCAACTGAGCCACTCAGGCGCCCCTCATCAGTGTTTACCTTTGCATCATTCTCTGGGTGGGTTTGTTATTGTATATTCAACATGCCACTGAGGTTGTTAAGATTTAGTAACTACTACTAAGAAAGGCATATGAGCTTTTTAAAAATAAAAATATTTACTTTTTCTTATTCTAAAAACAATATGTTTCTTAATGGAAAATAAGAAAGTGCAAAATATTTTTTTAAGTACTCATAACTTCTCTCACTCAGCTGTCATCTTTATATAAATCTTTTTATACATATGTGATATATATATGTGCTTTTTCAAATGGAAGCTCATGCTGATTTGTAACCTACTCTTTCATATGTTGTATCTTTCTAATAAGAACATTTTTAAAATAAGTAATACTTATTCCTTATATGACATTAATTGTAATATAGAGAAAGTTTTTTGAGAAAATTCTAAATTTACTAATGAAAACAGGAGCTGTTAAACATTTATCTTAAAAACCCACATAAATATAGAATAATATGAAATGTGTTTTTGAGGGAGAATTTTTTTCTTTTTTTTTTTTTTTTTTTTTTTTGCTTTTTCTTTTGAAATTATTTCAAATTTAGAAAAACAGTAAGAGTAGCCCAAAAACTCTATATAACCAGTTGTTAACATTTTGGAAATTTGCTTAATCGTATTGTGTGATATGAGTGTGTGTGTGTGTGTGTGTGTGTGTGTGTAAATATAATTTTTTCCCTAAATAATTTGGGAGTAAATTGCAGAAGTCATGATGCCTTTTTGCTCCTGTATTATTTCATTCTATATATCCTAAGAACAAGGACATTCTCTTAAATAACTATAATATAGTGTAATATGTTGTAGATTTTTTCAATATTCAATTTTCAACTTTAACCATTGTTTCCTTTATAGAAGACCTTCCCTGGTCTAAGTTCTATTCCAGAATCATACAGCATAGTTAGTTATCATTTTTCTGTATTTACTGTCTTGAAGTGGATCAGTTTCTCAGTGATGTTGACATCATTAAAGAATACAGGCCAGTATTTTGTGGAATGTCAGTTTGAGTCTGTTTGCTTCCTCTTAATTAGATTCAGGTTGTGCATTTTATTATTTATTTATTTATGTATGTATGTGCATTTTAAAAAATGTTTATTTTTTTTTTATTTTGAGAGAGAGAGTGTGTGTGCACATGCACGCAAGTGGGAAAAGGGCAGAGAGAGAGGGAGAGAATCCCAAGCTCAACCCCATGAACCATTAGATCATGACCTGAGCTGAAATCGGGAGTTGGATAGTTAACCATCTGAGCCACCGAGGTGCCCCTCAGGTTGTGCCTTTTGGACAGACGATGCCACAGAAGTGGTGTGTCCTTCACTTCTCAGGGAACCTTATCAGGGGTACCTGGTGTTGGTTTCTCCCGGCATTGGTGACATTAGCTTTGATCCCTTGGTTATAGCGGTATCTGCCAGACTTCTCCACTGTAATAGTTCCTTTCCCCCTTTGTAATTAAAAAGTAACCTGTAAGGGGGCGCCTGGGTGGCTCAGTCAGTTAAGCATCCGACTTCAGCTCAGGTCACGATCTCGCGGTCCGTGAGTTTGAGCCCCGCGTCGGGTTCTGGGCTGATGGCTCAGAGCCTGGAGCCTGTTTCCGATTCTGTGTCTCCCTCTCTCTCTGCCCCTCCCCCATTCATGCTCTGTCTCTCTCTGTCCCAAAAATAAATAAACGTTAAAAAAAAATTAAAAAAATAAAAATAAAAAAAAAAGTAACCTGTAGGGAGATACTCCCAAGCTATGTAACTGTCTTGTTTCCCATCAAACTTTTACTTCATTAGTTTTAGCATCTGTTTATAGCTTTTGCCCAAATCAACTATTACTATATGCTGTAGAACTTGACACACATTGTTTTTTAATATTAACTCTTGTGAAATTTACCTCTTCTTAAAGGGTTTACAGCCATCTATGAAAGTATAGGATCCCTCAGGCAAGTTCTTGAAGCCAAGATGAAGTTGGACAAGGACCAGCTACAGAAGCAAATCCAACAGATGCAGAAGCCAGAAGGTCCCATGTGAAGGGGGCTGGGACAAGGACCTCAAACGTGGTTTTGCTCGTGGGGCTAGAGCTAGATACCTGTGTAGCCAGGCTGTCACTGCATTCGGGATTGTTCTACTCATGGCGTGCATGTGCCAAGAAATGTGTTTTCATGGGTCTAAGCGTTTACCTTGAGTCTCAAAAACACTTTTTTTAAAAGTATGAAATACAACTTTTACCACTTTATTCCACTTCTCTAAATTCAATGGAATATCCTCCCTGCCCCTGGATTTTGAAAGGCTTTTATCCCCTTCATTTTATGAATGAAAAGACTTAACTTTCCTTCAATGCTTGACGCTCTAGCCAAGACTTTACTATTTTGAAAAATGTCATGGTGATTTTTTTAAAATTAAGAAACTAATGAATTATCACAGGAATGTGTTTCTCCTTACCCTAAATTAAGAGAATGTCCTGGTAGATTAGAATTCAACCTTTTAGTCCATATTTGGATTTTATGATTGTTATCTGTGCATTTCTTATAAGGTTATCTTCTTGTAAATCTTCTGTCTTTTGTAGAGACAAGGGATTTAACATTTGGAAACCCGCTTCATCATTTACTTGATGAAAAAAGCTTAAAAATTGATAACTGCCATATACATTGCAGATTAAAATGGAAACTTAAGACAATTATCTAGATAATGCAAGGCACAATATCTACAGTGACCACCTAATTAAGCCAGGTTTTAATATTGAAAACTTTTTTCAACTATCCACAGCCTGTATAGTGATAGCCATATATTTAGTAATGGAATGGTGGTTGATAGTCTGTTTATTGCACAATTAATCGTTTGTTAATCATAATAGGATGTGAGAATTTTTCAGGCTTTATGATCTCCTCTCTAAATGTTTCCAAAATTGGCACAAAGTGCTAAGGTTTATATACACTTATTGTAACTGTATTCTTGTGCCTTGGTTTTACCACGTCAATGCACTGTATCCTATAAAAGTTTTACAGACAAAATAGAAGGCATGATAATACATCAGAATTATGATGTAAAAATGGGATCCTTTGTAATTTTTAAATGTTCTGAAAATTTTATCACTGTTAAGACATTAGTCATTCAGTATTATTAATGGAATAGAAATTCATACTTTTGTATGGACAGAGAATCAAATTGATATTGCATTTATAACACTGTCAAGAACCTTTCATTTTGAGCAGCTTTGTAGAGGATGGGTGTTTTATTTTCAATCTCCATATTTGACTAGTCATTGAAAATTGGTGCCAGTGAAGTTGTTGACCCGTGGATGTAAAACCTGATGGTGAGACACACACTGTCCTAAACTGTGAGGGTGCCCAGGAAAAGGAAGACCATTCTTGAAGATTTAAAAAAAAAAAAAAAAAATTGTGTTTTGTTGTTTGCCAAGGACTCAGGAAAATTAAAGCATTTTCTATTTTTAGGATAACTCATAAATGAATTATATAACTGGCTATTACTGTTTACCCATATAAAATATGCTGCTACACTACACAGTATTTTACCTTCTTTGGCTTGACAAAAAAATGTTTTTTTAATTAGACCTGAGGAATCATCTAAGGAATGTGTCATCCAACACGTATTTCCTTATTTTGTCACAAATCTTTGCATCTCTCTCTATAGGAAGACTATTTCCACTTGACAATGAAAAAAAAAAGGTTAGTGCTCATTTGCAACCAGAAAGTGAATTTCTTTCTGTGATAGAATAACCACATTTAGTACAGTTTCCCCTGTTTATGCACAAGCCACAGCACAGAGAATCACGCGTCCTCCGGTGTCTCTCTCCTCTGCGGTCTCTGAGGAGGAAGAGTCAGCACACGTGACACTTGGGAAGAGGGACGGGGGGCCAGCTGGACTCGGGTTGTGGGGTGACGTGAGCAGGCGACGGTTGGATGTCCGCTGGAATTGCTTGGGTGCTCCTGATGCTGCCAAGCTCAGGCCATGAGCTCCAGCAGGGTCCCCCACCCTGGCCACATGTTGGAATCACCCGCGGAGTTCAAAAAGCTATTGATGCCTGGGCTGCCCCCCTAGACCAATTAAGCCAGAACCTCTGGGAGGAGGGAGGCAGACATCAGTAAGGTGTCAAAGGCCCCCTGGTGATTCAAAGGCCGCTGAGGTTGTAAGCCACTGAGCTACAGCGTGCTCTTATGACCAAAGTTTAAATGAGGATCAGCTTCCGTGTTCTTTCCTTTACCAGAAATTTGCAATAAAAAGAATAAAATTTCCAAATAAATGTGGTGTATGATTTTTAAACTTAAAAGTTTTTTTAGAGTGAGGCAACCTACTGGGAACTGGAAAGTCACGGGGAGCTGCTCCGTCTGTGGGTCTTCAAGGCTGGAATAATGCCAGCTGGCAGTTCCTACTGTGCATGTGTGCCTGTGCCGTGAACTTGGTGTGTGTTCACTCAGTTCATTATGGTGATGAGTTAAGGACTACTCACTTCCCCATTTTACAGATGAGAAAAATGGGTCACCTAAAGGTTGGGCAACTTGCCCCAAGTCCCGCAGCTGGTAAGTGGGATCCTCGATTCAAACCAGGCAGCCTCCTTCCACTCTCTGGGCATCTGACAAGTACACCACTGTCCCACCTCTAAAGATACAGCCTTGCTTCCCACATAGCTGACTTGCCAGCCCACCGACAACAGCCCCATCTCTACATGACCTTACAGCTCCACCATCCGAGGCCCTTTGCTCTTTAATGCCCTAGTTCCAAGCACCCGAGAGAGGCACCTTACTAGCTTCACTTGGGTCCACTAGCTTCCTCTGGTTTATCAGTGGAAGCAACGGAGGCGGGGCCATTTGGTGCCATAGGACGGTAGGGTCCCAGACACTTCGTCCCCTGTGCTTGGGCCGTCCTAGGCAGTGGACTGTGGTTCTGTGCATTGGGAGATGAGTTATGTTAGGTGGCTTTCAGCTATTCAGCCTGGAAAAAAAACCCCACAAACCACTCGTGACATCCTGGGAACTCAATGATAACTATATGGGGTTCTGTCACTGCCCTCTTCTCGCTGTGTGACCTTGGGCAGTTCTCTTCACCTTTCTGAATCTCAGTTTTCTCATCTGCAGAGTGGAGATTATAATTATATAAAAGAAGTGGCTCACTTATTATTTTTGAAATGCTGAAGTAGTTAATGCAAAATTGGGTATTAAGTGGTGAAATATGTGATATTGGCAGGGAGATGGTGGTGGTGGGACATAGCAGGTAAATGGAGGGTCCATGTGTTGGTTGAGAGCATCCCATTACCTGCTGGGATCATTTATGGGAAGTGACTCTAACCTCCAAAGATAAGTGATATACCGCCTGAAACACAGAAGAGCAGCTTGGATGCAGAGATAAGTAGACAGGACAGACTGGGCCAGTCCCTGAATCTGGGGAAGCGCTGGGCAGAACCACAGACTAGTTAGTCTCATCCTTGGGGCAGGCGTGACTTCTCCAGGACTCAGCCTGGGAGGAGCCACATCCACTGAGGGGCCAGTGTTGAGAGGGCTGGGAAGGTGGGGTAAGACCCAGAAGGTGACAACAACTCAAGTGTACATTGATGAATGAATAAGCAAATGTGGTATATACCTACAATGGAATACTATGCAGCCATAACAAGAAATTTTGACACATTAACAGCATGGATGAATCTTGAGGAGGTTTTGTTGAGTGAAATAAGCAAGTCACAAAAGGACAAACCTTGTAGATTTCCACTTGGATGAGGTACATAGAAGAGTCCAATCCATAGAAACAGAGTAGCCTGATAGCTGCCAGGGGCTCAGGGGTGGGGTGGGGAATGGGGAGCCAGCACCAAATGGGTCCAGAGTTTGAGTTGGAGAAAATGAAAAACTTCTCAGATGGATGGTGGTGATGGTTGCAAACAATGTGAATGTACTCAATGACACAGAACTGTACATTTAAAAATGGTTAAATTACTAAAATGTACACATATCTTATCACAACAAAAAATAGGAAGTGGATTCCTAAGCCCTCCAGTTGAACCTTCAGGTGAGACTGCAGCCCTGGCAGCTTTAATGCAACCTCATGAGAGATGTTAAACCAGAGGTTACCCAGCTAAGCCATGTCCACACGTCTGACCCACAGATGCCGCGAGATGATAAATTTTTGTTGTTTTAAATTGCTACGTTTTGGGTTAATTTGTTATATGCAGCCATAGATCACTGATGCACTGGCACTGTGTAATCTTGACAGAGCTATTTTGTGGAACTGCTCATTGCTTGTGCTACAAATTACATGTTTACATATATAATCTCATACACTTTCTGAGCAAGACATGATCTTTAAAAACTTATACTGAATGGCATATATACTTTATCCCATTTAATCTTTGTAATTACCCTACTTGGTGTGTACTATTATTTCCATTTTGTGGATGGAGCAGAGAGAGAGGTTAAATATTGACTAATATTGCAGTTGACTCTTGACCAACACAGATTTGAACTACGCAATCCACTTACATGTGGATTTTTTAATACAGTACAGTACTGTAAATGTATTTTCTCTTCTTTATGGTTTTCTTAATAAAATTTTTTTTCTAGCACACTTTGTTGTAAGAATACAGTATATAATACATATAACTTGCAAAATATGTGTTACTTGACTATGTTATCGGTAAGGCTTCTGTCAACAGTAGGCTATTCGTAGTTAAGTTTTGGGGAAGTCAAAAGTTATACACAGACTTCTGACTGTGTAGAGGAGGTGGGGGAGGGTTGTCAATGTCCCTAATCCCCTACATTGTTCAAGGGTCAACTGTATATAGAAGTTGAAAATGAAACAAAGGACATTGAGCTAATTGATGGAGGAGCAGGGATTTCAGTCCATACCTGTCTTCTAAGTCTAGGCTGCCATTTTGCTTCAAGAAAGCCCATACCTACATATAAGGTGATTTTTTCAATATCTAACAATTGTTTGGAATGAGAATACTGTCTAGCTTGGTTGTCCTCAAAGTATCCCCAGACCAGAAGCATCAGCCTCACCTGGGAACTGTTAGAAATGTAAGCTCT